TACTTGAAAAATATCCGTTAATCTGAATACTTCTTGTTTCAACTGCTTCCATTTCGCTGTGTATTAGTATCCTGTTACTCCACGACTTCATACTAGCCTTACAAAACTCAATAAATCTTGGATGAAATCGACAGATCTTAAGGGTCTTTAAAATACAATCGTTTGGTACACTGACGGACACGGACGGACAAACAAACGAACGGACGGACGAACGAACGAACGAACGAACGAACGAACCAACCAACCAACCAACCAACCAACAAACAAACAATCAAACAAGTAAGCAAACAAACAAACAAAATAAATAAATAACACACGAACGAACGAACAAACGAAAAAACAAACAAATGAACGAACACACGAACGAACAAACAAACAAATGAACGAACAAACAAACAAACAGACAGACAAACAAACAACACATAATTACAGAAGTCTTATACCTCTATACTATTACTATTTACTTCTCTATGGATTTTAAAATAGTTTGTAAGCTCTCCAATAACTTAAATTTAATCTTAATAGTTGGATCGAACCAAGACCGACCACAATATTGTAGTTGGCCTAGTTCGAACGTAGTTTTGAAAAATCTCGTTAGATGGTGCAGTCAAAAATAGGGTTCCCACCATCGTCTATCAATCTCTCGGTCCAAGGCATTTTCGACGCGAAATATTACGTTACCAAGAGTGCACATTGACTATTTCAAGATGTCTTTGAAGAATAGATTTCATTGAGACAAAATTATTTATCTTCAATATTGTAGTTGTAAGAAGAATTTTGAACTTTTGCACTTTCCAAATATTAAGAGATTTCAACGAAAATGAGATCTTCGACATTTTTTAAAGTTCCTTACACTATCAAAGGAAAAAGTTTAATAAAAAGAAAATAGAGCTATTATTGAGAAAAATTTGAAAATGTGTATTAGGTTTAATGCAAAGTACTCCTGAATATCAAAATATCTGTTACAAACGCGCAAGGCCTCAATTCCATTAAATCGATTTGGGAATATCAATTTTGCAGAAAATCGTCTGAATGGTTTAGGTGCTAATGTTTCTTAAATGGTTGAAATATAATTTCAATAGTTAATTATAATAATTTCAATAATTTCAATTATGCAATACAAATGTAGTTGATAAATCTTTATTTGATAACATTTTAAAATTTATACTATTCTGCACTATACAGCAAAGATGAAGTAAAATATGTTAAAAAGATTGAAAAATGTTTATCTGGATCAATTAATTATTATACTATTCAAATTTTAATTTTTCAAAACATTCTGTACCCTACTGAGATTTTTTCTCTGCATCTGCCTCCATCAGAATAATCTATTCTTTTCGTGATATTTTCCATATAACACAGTTCTATGATTTCCCATTTTTGATAATCTGTCCACCACTCCTTGGTTTAATTGTAATGGATCTAATGTAACACTAATCCCATTGACTTTTTTTAAGTACTGTTGATCAAAGCCAAATTTTTACAACTTGTTTTCAGGAAGAAATGTTTCGCATTGGAATTTGCAACAGGCAAAGCTGAAAATCTTGAGATAAAAGCAGTTCATATGCTAACCCACTTTTCATGCTTTTGCAATTTTCATTTATTTTGCCAACGTGTGACTTTCACCTCACAGTTCAAGTATTAAAATTAGCATGTCTTGGCTTTTTTTCAGTAAATTACAAAATTTTTAGATGTCAATTTAAGCCATTCTTTAATTTGAACAATATTCAAGCCAATTCACAAAATGTTCAAGAAACAGCATAGGTAATTGAATAACATCCATAACAGAAATTTGGGTTTTCAAATCCTTTATGACATTATGTTAAAGAGGAATGTACGCAGAAGTCCTATGGAAACTCTCAGTCACTTACTCCAGGATTTTGTTTCATTTGTTTTTCTTCTACACGATTGGAGGTTTTGCATGTTAATATCTAACTTATTTATAATCTGCTTCATATGTTTAAAAACTTCTTTACTTTGCAACTTATTATTGTCGATTAATAATGTTCCAATTAATTGTTATACAAAGTTTGTTGCTTTTGTCAGGTCAGTAGTTTTCTGTAGGTAGTGAACAAGAATGCTGAGTGTAACTGTAAATGAAAATGTCACTATGGGAGAGAACTCTGATGGTAAAGTCAGAAATACACAACTCATTAACGAGAACTATTGCCTTTCCAGTTCCTTTATTTTTTTAACTAGCTTTCTCGGTGAGTGATAGATTATTTCTGATAATCTGGTGGTGAATTGCAGAACAGCATTGTGCCATGGTATCAAGAGCATGTGTCACAAAGCTCTACATGTTTTTTACCAAGAAATTGAGCCAAATAGATGTAGTTCTGAAAGTTGTGAAAAATAAAGTTACTTCTCTAATAATGCTGAAAGGGTTTTCAGTCAAAGATACTTTTCATGATCCTGATTCACTCCTAATGAGAGAAGTTTGAATTCATACCCGCATTTGAAACATCTTTTTGTATTTTACTGACACATACTCTCACACAATGTCAGGACACCCATCAGTGCCTATAGCAACACATTTTTAACTGGATGTTCATTAGCTTCATTTCCCTCAAAACTATTTGTTATATTGAAACTCCAGTTAATGAAAGTTATTTATGTTTTTCAAGCCATAATTGAGGATACTGTGTTCAACATAGAAACTGTACCTATGTTAAAAAAAAACTATAATAAATCACCCAATTTATAAAAAATATGTCTTATTTATGACACACGTAAAAATCCATTCAGTTATTTTCAAAGTCTTAATGTTTCATACCAAAATAAAATATCTTAGCTTGTTAAGTTTCTAGATAAGCTAAAAATTAAATCGCTGATTGTAAGAACACCCTTGGTCCACATCTGATGAAAACAGAAGGCAGAAATGCATAATACTTTGCGTGTAGCTCCATAATAGTGCACAAAAGCAATGAGTCACCATATACTACCATGTAAACAGATGTAGGTATTTTAAACTAAGCATAGAAACACCCAAAGTACAAGACAGGTTATTTTTCCACTCAATTGTTGCCACTGAAGTGATTTGTGGTATGACTGTTTAGAAAAAATTCAATGCATTTCTGATGTTAGTATTGTTATGAAACGAAAAAGCATAATCAATAGTTGTGTGATGAAAAGTGAAACGTTCTTCCAATTATCAAAAAAATAGTAGGCTATCTGGGAATTAAAGGACTATAAAGTAAATATAAACAGTTATTTAATAGTGCACTTGACGAACAGATATTAAATACTAAATTTCAAACTGTGGTTGCATAAATTAATAAGAAGGCTTGGTTTTCCAGTGAGACTTCATTGCGAAGATATTCCAAGGGCAAATAATCTTCCACTGAATATTGCAAAATTTCATCATCATTTTTGTTGCAAATCATTGATAGCAGGAGTTGTGACAGCAATGGAAATCATTAATGGACTTCAGAACAATAACTTCTTTTTGAAACTTGATCAAAAGAAGAAACCACAATTAGATAAAAAATGTTATAAGTATGTAAAAGTAGAAGTAGGGAAGAAGAAAATTGAAGACATTATAAAGAACGTAATAGCATTTGTTTCGATAGAAAAACTGTCATCCTACATGAATGAAATACCAACTTGGTCTACTACAGATGCACAAGAATCATAGGATAAGTACGAGTACTGTATTGAGTACTACATTGAATATTATTTTGTTTTATTAATCCTTCCGTAAACAGTATTAACTGCAAAAACAGCCAAATGTGTCTCGCAAGGAACATTGTGCTGTTTTATAAATAAGCATAACTAATTTGTTTGTGTATGTTTATATATTTTTTTAAATTCATAAATATGTAGATTGCAAAAACAATCTAATTCCACAGCATAAAAATATTTTACAATACAGTGTAGCAGGTTGATATCATACATTAAAAATGGTCTTGTGGAGTGGCACCTATTCCTCAGTGTAAGTTTCATGTTGTTCTAAAACTCCATGTAATAGTTATTATGCTATTCTTAGTTTCCCAAAAATTAGCACAATGTGACATATATTGTTCTTGCAATTCAGCAATTCAATAATTAGTTACAACAGAATTTGTTTTTACTTGTATATAGGATTTGTTTCAGTTATCAGGACTTTTTTATTTCAGCTTAGAATCTTCTGTTCATTGCTGAGATTGTATTTTTAACTAGAGTGCTCATAGTTTTTGATGATTTATATAATTTTTCATGTGCCATGTATACTTCTGTATTCTTGTCAATTTTCCTGGTCAATCCTATTTCTCATAATGGCAGAAAACTTCTTAACAAACGTTCAGTCACAGAACTAATTTTTTCAAAATTTCCTTTTTTTTCATGTAAAAGGAAAATGAACAAAAAAGTTAGTTTTCTGCAATTCAAGATGTAATACCTTTCTTTGTTTGTTCATGTTACTTTCATTACATACATTCACACTACATGGCCCTCTGCACCTTTTTAAATTTTCTAAGATTTTGTTTTCTTATTACTAAAATAATCTAGTAACGCAAAGAAATTAGGAACTTCTAACTGTGTTAAAATACATATTGAAGTCACTGATAAGTACAATGTTATAAACACAATAAAATATCCATTAAAACATATTATATTATGAACCCTTATCGTTGTAATGAATACATTATTTTTTAACGTGCTAATAAATTATTAAATTCAACATTGAAAATTTAGAAAAACCGCTGACACCAATTCTTGAGATTAAACTTTTTATGAGAAGAAAGAAGTACTTCGCGCCTTTTTCTCATTTATGCGCCCTTTTTGATTTTTGTAAGTTGGTAGCAATGTTTGTTTTCTGCATATTCCGCCGTTATTACATGTGAGAAAGAACTTGAGTTTACTTTCTGTTGAATTCTATCATCGTATTCGAACGTCCTGGACAGTGCATGAGTAAATCGACAATATTTAATTTTGGTCGTGGTAGAGTGTTCCGTTTGTGTTACCCTCTTCCAAATATCTAAGACTTGAGTTGGACCGTGACAAAATCTTAAATCCGAATCGGAATGTCTGCAAGGCGATCTACAGATTCTGGAGGAAGCGATCGGAGAAAACATGCCAGAGAAGAAAATCGACATGCCAATGAGAAGAAGGTGAATTTAACAAAAGAACCCAAAAGGGAAGTGGAAAAAATAGTAGGTGTTACGGATGACAATGGGGAATTGGAGTTTGGTATAAAGTTTAAGGGTAATGAAGCTTTGGAACTTGTGCCGGCCCGAGTTGCAAATTTGGAATACCCACAACAAATTATTGCTTATTATGAAGAACGTTTGGTTTGGGAATCTCGCGATGGGTCACAAGTGAAAGCACTTCCACCCTCAAAAAATAAAGTTTCCTAAATATCTGCTGTGATCTAAAGTGCTATTATAAAGCCTTTCCATGAGCCGGGTGTTGTGAAGATCTGTGTGTGTGCCTTTTGATAGAGTTTGCTTCTCTTAAAGTGTCTTCCTAGAAAAACACATTCTAGTTATTGTTGTAAGACTTCTTTGTGATCTTTTTATATTATTTTGGTTCATTTTGCCAGTCCATTTTGACACAGTTGTCAAAATGTTTCAGAAATGCTTTTGTTTCTTGTTTTGCTGTCCTGAGATTACTTTTGATCATGACAAGTTATGAATGTGAAGGTGAAAACGTAACCTTCTAAACTTTTCTTTAAACAAAATTGTCAACAATATGGAACTAACATAATTAGTCGTTAAATTTCACTTGAATGATGGTGTAAATAGGCAAGTCAAAAAGAAATTATAGTTTTAACTATTTAAACAAGTGTTGCTGGTCACAAAGGTTATCTTCAATCTGTGGGTCCCTTGTTTCATGGGGATTTGGGGGGGGTGAAGGAAATAATTTACATTTCCAAGCTAATTTATTTGTTAGACAAGTCATTCTTCCCTCCCTAGAGCCCACCATTTATGGGACCCATAGATAATCGGAATTAACCTTTCTAAAGAATACTGAATTGGTGATATTCCTTCCCTAATCGTGGCTTTTTGGATTCAGTTGTATTACAAGCACTTGCATTGCTAAACAAATACACAAAAACTAGTCTTGATCATGGAAGCCTGTTACTTTAAATGCAATGCAGAACTGTAAATCAAATGGTAATTTGACATTGCAAGTACAATATAAGAATTTAACCAAATTTTTCTGAATCGTGAATCTCAGGGTTCATTGTGTATAATAGTGTTTGTTCAGTATTAACAGTTTTCATTAGATGAGACTCTTATATTTAATGAGTTAATATTAGTTGTGGATTTTAATGCACACCAGTCAGTCACTAAGTCCTTACCTACTGTGTAGAAATTCTACATGGAATGTATAAAATTTCATTTACTTGCCAAGAAAGGTTTTAAAATTGTAGTCTTGTCTTTCTGCCAATACCACTTGAACTTCAAACAAAGGTCAACATGCTAATTCTTTAACATTTGACTGACATTAGTTTGTTTTTGCGGTAAAATTATTTTGTGTGAATTGGGCTTTTATCCGCAGATGGGTAAGAACCTTACATTGTACAGTAAGAAGTCTAATTACCGTATTTATCTGAGTAATGACTGCTCCCTAAATTTGAAGAGGCCTTCAGATATTTTTTAAATCTTTTACTAATTTGTACTATTCATTCAATTCCTCATCTTCCGCCCCTACCTCCCACTCCTGGTCACCCTTCAGTGTACAGTAGCTGGATTTAAAATTTTGTATTAATTCTAACTGTAACCCCACCCCCACCCCCGCCCCTTCTGGCTGCTCTTGAGAATACGATAGCTTGATTTGAAATAGGGCTTTTAGAGTTCCATTGATATAACTTTGCTTGTGTTGTTGCATTTCCTTATTCCGAGTCTTAAATTTAAACTTGTCAATTATTGTGAGTAATAGCATGTCGAGTTTTTCAAATGTTAATTCTGTAAATTGATAGACAATTGACTATTAATTTATAGTACAAGAAAATTAACAAACGATAATTAAAAATTATGGGAGTTCAGAATCGCTAAAGATGTGGTTTCAAAATGCGAGTAAGTATTCTTCTGGCAGTTCTTACAAAGCTAAATATGAAAATAGCATATTTGAAATTTGTTCATAAATTAAATTATTTAATTTTTATTTTTCCCCCAAGATCATGTACCTGGCAAAACTTCTGCTACGAAGGGTCCATCTGTGGATTAAGTTCAGATAATACAGTTAGGCTGTGCTTTTTTATTTTCTTTAAATGACTGATACAACCATGTGAATGTATATTTTCAAATAGTCTGTATCGATGTGCTGTGATTATATTGCAGGTTCTATTAGCATACTTAATACAAGTGTGTGTGCATTTTGATAAATAAAATTGTGTAAACAGAAATTGCTCACATCCTTTCCTTTTGTTATTTTGAGAAAACTATAATTAATACCCTCTCAGGTGAACATTCCCTCTTTAATAATAATTTAAAGGAATTTTTTCTGTGAGTTACCATGAATTGTTTATCAACTCTGGGATTGTCAGTCGGTGTGTTCTTGATTTTAATTTTTGTAAATTTAATCTCGTTGACCAATAATTGATTATTAGAATTTCTAGCATGCATGAATACAGTTTTAACTCTTTTAACATGGGTTGTCCACTTGAGGCAAAACATGTTCTTTTGCTTCCATGGGGATGAATCCATACCTAGATCTCAAGGGATTTTCCCCTCTGCTGTGTGGAGAAAGGGCTACTATCTGACATTCCTACACCCAGCTAATTACCTGCTGCTACAGTGATGCACTGTGTTTGCAACTCCTTTCTTTCCTTCCACATTAAAATGTGGCTGCTCCTAACCAAGGCTCTGCATTAAAGCATTGAAAATGTTGGCATATGTGTTTGGAGTTGATTAGACATTTTAAAATTAAACCTAGTATGTGTACTTTTTCCAAATGAAAATGTTTATTTAGGCAGTTGTGGAATTTGGCATGCTATTGACTAGTTTCATTCTCCTCCTGAAGCTTGTGAAATTTACCCAATTTTGTTATTTCTTAGTATGTTATTAAAATAATTTTTAGGTTGTGCAAATCTGTGCAGCTTTGACAATGATTTCTTGCTAAGTCCATGGCGGTCAGCATATTAGTAATTAAAGTGACTAAACCTCTATATAAATATATTGTTTTATGGTCAAATTCCATTACCCCCTTAATTCAAGTGGCTCTCCTTTGATGACTTGATAGTAAATGGTCACTGACACACGTTAGTACATTTTATCCTGTCTTGTACACTCACCCTCGGTGTGGACTTCTGGCAGATGGACACACCGGGTCTTCATGAACTTTGTTCGGAAGTTTTCTGCTGCAAAGGAATTGCATTAGTTTTTTAAATGTGGCAACTTCTAGCTTTGAAATATCTGTCAAATCACTTCTGCAAGTAATATTTTTAGGTTATCAGGAAAATAACTTTTCTTTAATTTATTTTCCTTTTGTGAAAATTGTTAAGCCTTCCAATTGGAAAAAACATGATTGAACAATGAGTAGTTTCATAAGAGTAGGTATTTCTCATAAACTATCAATTCGAAATTGAAAACTGTTTAGTGGTGTGTGAGGTGATCTTCAGAGAAATCAAGATTATGTATTTTGTGGCATTTTAGATTATCTTAGAACCATACACCCAGTAGGGTGGTACTAATTTTGTTGCTAGATGTTCTAATTGAAGGACTTGGGTCACTTGATTGATGGTTTCTCAGTACTAGCTAAATATGTGAAAAAATCCTAAACCTTAAGCCAGTACCCATTTCTGATATGAGGTACGGAATTATTCTGTTGGAAATCAGAAATTATGAACTCTTTGGATGTTGATCTTTATTGCTGCAATATTAACTTTCACTTGTGTATAAAAGTATCACAATTGAAAATGCGTTAAATCATTCAAAAACATGCCTATGTTCTTTTGCAACCCATTTTTCTAGTCTCTTTTACTGAGCACTTTTGTATATGACTTGCCTGCTTTTCGTTTCTTAGCCATATTATTAGTGTCAGAATCACTACTCGTGACTTGAATTGTTCATGTTGGTGTTTCACTTGAATTAAACACAATCATATTTCCAGAAAATAAGAAAAGTAAAACAAACTTCCCAGACTGTCACTGAACAAATCTATCCTATTCGGTACAAATATTAAACAAACTCTGTTTGAGAAGTACAAAGTGCTGCTTGTAGTGAACATTCTAAAATCATTTGATGCAGAAAGGCTGTAGTGCTAAAGTTGAAGAGATCTTGCACCAAATGGAAGCCTGAGTAGAAATTTTTCTTCATTTTCTCCATTCCCTCGGTATGGAAGTGCCTTCCTTTTTCTAACTCTTCTCCCTTCTCTCTCATAGAAGTTTTCATTTTTTTTATTATTGGCAAGAATAGGTAAAGTGTTAGCACAAACCAAGTAGTTGACCTTTCCTGTACTGTACATCACCAAATGAGTAAAATGTCTTGAATTACTTTGATACTGAACTGTTTCTTTTGAAGATGAAGATTGAATGTGAGAAAAGGTCAAGGAACTGCATGAACGAGGTGCTACACTTATTAAATACAGTCTGGTCCTAAATAGTATCTCCAATTTACTTCCTCTTTCAATTATATTGGAATTGGCATTCAAATTTGTCCCGAAACGTTATGTATAGTGCACAATTAACAGTACGTTTATGTTGAAGTATTTACTTGTGGCAGCGTCATTGAATTATTTATGTTACAACCGTTACAACCTTGGTATTCTACGTGTTGAAAATACCTCGGAAGTCGAAGGGTTAATCTGTATCACTTTAGCTCCATCAATGTATCGTATTAGTCCCATCAGGTGGTTCTAATTTGATACACTTTTGCTTTTTTTGAAGTTGTACAGTCTAAAGATTTTTTTAATTCGTACCAAAACGAGAAGAGATTTTTTTTTTTTTTTTTTTTTTTTTTTTTTTTTTTTTTTTTTTTTACAGTTTGGCCAAAAGTCTTGTAAGGGAATAAAAAGAAAGATGATTACTGAATATTCAGCTGCAACAAGAAGTGCAAAAAAGCATTTACAAGATCTTAGGCGGAGAAGAAATAGAATCTAATGACAGCAAGGAGCAAGAATATTTAACATGGCGCTTATACTGTTTCAGTTACCTCAGGAAAAAACAATCTCACTTACGCCTCTATTGTAAAAAAGTGTCCTAAAAGCTGTTATTTATTTATTATAAATTGTGTTCATATATTATATTATTATGAAATATAAAATGTGAGTAATTTGAAAGAAAATACGTTTATGGAATTTGTTTGAATTGTCCGCCATTTTTCGAACAATCAACGGTTTTTATGAAATGCTGTTAGCAGACACAAATAATCGATATTACAAAATTAATCGAACAAAAAAAATTATGAGATAA